TGCCTCTCTTAGTCTTTGAACTAGGCCTATCTTCTATATTTATTTCTGCTGAAGACAGCCTTGTTTTATTTTCAAAGAGAAAAAATAAAAACATAGAGAAAATTGCATCACTGGAGTTCCCAAGAAAAGTAAGCAAAACTAAAGCAAAGTCAAATAATATCTTCAGCAACTAGGAAAATATCCACATGCTATCTGGTGTGGGCCCAATGTAGACTGGTGCACGCTGTGCCGGGAACCACAGGAAGCTGGGCATTTCTATAGCCTGTGTCCCTGCCAGCTTCCCTCAAGTGCTGACATTCGGCAGGGAAGTCATGGTGCCTAGCCTCTGAATGCAAGACAGACAGACCACACTTTGCACATGGGCCAAGGTAACTGGGACGTCAAAGCCGCAGAGCAATCAAAAGGCACTGGAGAAGGGTGGAACGGAAGGATCACATTGTTTGAGCCCCCAGATTTTGCTGTATTGTAACAGCCTGGGAATGTGGGAGGAGGAGAAAGCTCATCTCCTGCCAAAAAGGGACCAGACTCGTTTTCCCCTGAGACTTCCTCCCCGCCTGTGTACAGCTCGCAAGTGACAGGACGGGCTGCTCCTGCTAAAACTTAGGTGGCAGGCTCGATTGAGCGTCGCAGCCGCCCTGGGGCAGAGAGGCTCTAGAGGAGCACACACGCAGCATATCTCTGCTCCTGTCACTACCCAGGGGACCAAGGGCCGGATCCGCCACGCACCTGCTGAGCAAACGCCCACGAGCTCGTGCTCGGCCTGTGAGCTCTCGCTCCGCTAGCCGTGGGCATTGCTTGGGACATAATTGTCTAAAAAGGAGCCCAAAGCAAAACCTAGATCTACCGCTTTGGTTCATAAGGGGTGGGTGTGGGCTGGGAAGGGGGATTACGTAGGTCTCTCCGCCCCCTCCCCTGATGCCTCTTCGTCACTGGGAGGGCGCTGGGGTGGGGGAGGCGCTACGAACTCTCTAGGGGGGTTCTTTGTTTCTCTCCGAGCCTCACAGAAGGGCCGGATATGCTTGATGAAACCGAGCCGGAGTCACCACCCGGGGATGCTTGCCGGCCTGGGCGGCGGCGCGCCCCAGGCTGACAATTGAACCTCTCGGGAGGAGTGAGAGGGTCGGGAGGAGGGTGAATCATGGGCCCCGGGGAGAAAGGGCGCTGCCCGGCCACCGGAGAAGCCGGGAAGCCGCCCAGAGAAGGGAGAAGGAAGGGACAGCAGGTAGAGTTCCCGCACGGCGCCCGCTTACCTTGTCAGCCCCTGCCTGGGCACAGATCATGCTCCCGTCAGCACGCAGATTAGAGCCGGGGGCGCAAGTGCCCTGCAGGGCGCGCCGGGAGCAGGGGACCTGCCGGGGGTATTCGGGTGTCCAGCCGTTCTTGCCGCACTCCAGGTGCCCGGGGCGAGCGGTGGCTCGCGGATCCGTGACTATGTGAGCGAGAAGGCCGGTTGAGTCAGAGACGCACCGTATTGCAGCTCCAACAACAGCGCCTGATGCACTGTAACGCAGCACACTTCATCGCTTTATCCTCCTACCCGCATCCCCTCCCTCCTAACCTGCTCCTCTGTGGGTACCAGACTCCGGAACCAACCACAAGCCGGGCTCGCTCTCTTTAGCGCTGCCCCGCCCTGCAGCTTCTCCTCACCCCACTCCCCGCCCCCACCGTAAATATATATTGATTCTTGTTACCGCCGGCCCCATCCTTCCGACACCCAGCACTAGTACTGGGCATATCCAGCACCAGCGCCGGCCTATCGGCCCTTTTGTGTATGTGCTAACAGTGTATTCAGAAAGGATGTGGTACAGACACCCCAGTAGGTACTCTATGGCAGGTGTTCTTGGCCTCTGTTGTATACACTTTACCTGTCTATCTTACATACAGTTATGAACACTCACAGACACGCTTCCAGGAACCGCCCAGTATTTGTACCGCAAACACATAAAACAGACATCGTAATTAGATATGCAAAAGTTGAAAATCTGCCCAGAAAATCTATCGTTTGGCAAGCATAGCTTTCAAGCCGGGTTTTACATTGAACTGCATACAGTATCAGAATGCTGGAACTGGAAAGAAGTAAAATCTAAACCGCCCCCTTGTGCAGCCAACCGAGATGAAAAGATAACTGAAATGCTGATCACTGATGGTTGCCTGCTACTCCATATATGTAAATCTAAGTGCATTTGGCCTATACTTGGCCTGTATGTGTTCAAATAATATGCAGTGGTTTTGAGCACATCACCATAGTCTGTGATTTCATGACCTAATTGCATTCTTTACAATTCTTATTTATTTCTTCCCATTCTTCTGCCCAGCATCTCCTATATAAGACATTTTTCACGCCCTAATAAGTCTTTTCCATACCCCAAATGCAGTCCTCCTCTAGAAAAAAAAGAAAGGGTTGGCCTTGACTCCAGACTCCTTATTGAAGACCAGAGCACATACCTCCCAAAATCATGTCTCCTTCTTCCCTTCAACCCCCCAAACACTGTAAGGTGGGCTGCTTTTCAGTGGATCTTATTTCACTGACCAGCCTCTTAGCAATGATTTCTCTCTCACAACCAGAACTTACCAGAAGTGGAAAACTTGGAATATGTGTAGGCAGCTTCACCAGCAGCACCCTTTTCTCCCAGGAGGCAGGGGAGGCACACAACATCAGGGCTTTCCTATTCCTCATTCCACAGGGGGTATAGGTGCCCAGGCCTCCACTTTTCCTGACAGGACACCTCCTTGCTGATGCCTTTAGCTCTCCAGGTCAGAGCTCAAAGGGGACCACTTTTCAAACCTTGGCTAAGGATCCATGCAGAAAGCTGGGCACATGTTTCTCTGAACATTTTAAACTCCAATTAGTATTCCCTCCTAAATGAGGAAAACCTTCCAAGAACAGACTAGGGAAGGCAGCAACTATAAACAGCAACTGTAAACATCAACCAACACGTGAGGTTTCTGACCAGAAATTTGAACAAAACAAACCTCTGTGACAAACCAGCATCCATAATTTCTAAATTAGCATAATATCACAAGACCACAGTAAAGGATCATTCTTTCCTTCAATTCATTGCCAAAATGTTCACCTCATTATTTTCATAATCCAGCATCAACTCGACTTAAAGATATTTCTCTTTGTTCTATCATGGTGATAACTTGACAAATGAACATCTCTCATAAAGATTATTGATTTAAGAATCGTGAGATGGGCTTTATTTTCCCCTGGAGTGTGTCTCTTTTTAATTCTGAAGACAAAAGATATGAAAGCAGAAGTACACAAAGTTTTACATTTTAACGTGTTAAGTAGATTAAGAAACTCTTAGCAACTTCTACGAGACCAAGTGCAGTGGCAACATACACACCAGCTTGTTTATTCCTCACATTCACATTGTCTTATATATTCCTCTCAGTCCCACTACAGTCTGAGTAGCATCATCTGATTTTTATAGAGGAGAAAACCAAGATACATAGGATTCTATAATTTTCTTAAGGTCTCATTGCCAGCAGAAGACTTCATGTACAGAGGTAATTGACTTCAGCTGCCCTAACCTTGAAATGAAATATATTTGGTGGAGAAATAAAAAGACTTGTCATGAATTTTAAAGCCATCTATCTATGAATCATATTTATCAAGTTCCAAATATACTCCAAATACCATTATAAATACAATAGTAATAAGTCACAGTCTCAATGCCTTCAAAAATACTAATCTTATATAATGGCATAAGATATTGAAAGCATTTTGAAAAGTATATACAGATACTAGGTATTAACATGATGCTGATGCAACCTTTGTTTCCACTTTTTGTGAATCAGGGTTTGGTGGGACACAAGGAGGGACTGGCATGCAGGCCACATACACATAAAGACAATCAGAGCACCATTCTCAAGCAGTGCCTACAATGCTGAGAAAGCTATGACTTGGATTGACCAGGGACTTCACCTTCAGGAGGAGACCTTCACCATGGTGTTAGAAATGAATGCCTTTTAGCTCAGGACAGAGCTGTTGTAGTCTCAGCTTAGTCCTTAGCTAAAAGGCATTCACAACGTCAATTTCTTACACAGTCTCTCTCCTCAGGACAAATTGTAGCCAGTGATAAAAAAATTATCATTTGAGGACACCTTAGGTCCTAAGGCTTAGAATACTAACTTGGAGGCCAGGGCGTCTAACTTCGGTGAGCTGATCAAGTTACCTAGAGAAACCAGGACTTCCTCTGATGAAAGAAAAGGATTTTAATTTTGAAGGGTCAGTATACCTCAAGCAGAGGCTGAGCTTACATGAAAAGCTCATGGGACTTTTCTATGTGAATGTATTCACTCATTCAATATATTTTTCAATGTGCTAATTTCTGGAGATGTAACCTTGAAGAATACAGTCTCTGACTTCATGGAGATTAAAGTTGAGAGTACTAAAACCTCTAATTAAACAAGTTAGCACTATATATTTGATAGATGAGGTGGTAGGTAAAAATGGAGTGCCCATCATCACATATTACAAAGGTCCTAATTCAGACCTAGGTTGAGAGAGTGAGGGTCGGGGTCCAAGGGCAGACTGTTTTGTCATCGATGGTGGCCAGGTTGAGAATTAAAAGATCAATAAGAGTTGCAGATGAAGGAAGTGAAGGAAAAGCATTCCAGATTAAAGTGACATGGTCAGAAGATAGGCAGAGAAGTATATAATACATACAAGAAAATGTCAGTCTGATTGAAATGCAGACAAATGCATAGGTGTATAGCAGTGTCTTATTGTGGGTTTGAATTTGCATTTTCCTAATGACTAGAAAAAAATGAGCTTATTTTCCATTTTTAATGAAGTATTTATTCAAAGATTTAGTCCATTTTTAAATGGGTTGTTTCTTTTAATATTGTTAAGTATTGAAAGTTAGTATGTTCTAGATACAAGTTCTTTGTAACACATGTGATTTCTAAATATTTCCCCTCAGTCTATGGCTTGTCTTTTCATTCTCTTGGTAGTTTCTTTCACAGGGCAAAGTTTCTAAAGTTGATAGAGTTCAGTTTTACAAACTTTATTTTATGAATCACGCTTTTAATATCTTATCTAAGAACTATTTCACTAACCCAAAGTTACAAAGAGTTTTTTTGTTTGTTTGGGGTTTTTTTTGATGACTTTTATAGTTTTACATCTCACACTTAGGTCTTTGGTCCATTTGAAATGATTATTATTTTATAGCTGTAAAGTATGGATCATAGATTTTGTTTCTGCATATGAATATTCATATTCAATTATTCTAGCAATATATATTAAAAAGATGATTGAATTACCTTGCAACTTTCCAGAAGTAAATTGACCACATAGGTCTCTTTCTGGATTCTTGATTCTTTACTAATAATCTGTTTATCATTCCTTTTGCCAATATTACACTATTTTAATCACATATATTTATATTTGGGTTATTTTCATTTCTTTGCCTTTCCACATGAACTTAAAAATTAGTTTACCCATATCTACAAAAAGTTTCCGTTAGGGTTTTGATTTCAATTGCGCTAAATTTATACCTCAATTTCAGAAGAACTGACATTTTAACAATCTTCCTACTTCTTACAGTGATCCAATCTATACATATGTTATATCTTTGCATTTATTTAGATTTTCTTTGATTTGTTTCGTCGGTATTTGTGGGTTTTAGCATACAGATTCTACACATATACTGTGAGATGTAAACTGAAAATTTTCATTTTTTTGGTACTACTGTAAAAGATATTGATTTTAATTTTGAATTTCACTTGTATTAAAATGTACCTGGAATTTGTTTTAATCAGTTATGGACATGCAGGCATACAACGCAGAAATGATTATCATGACAGAAGAAATTCAGAGATCCTTAGAAACAGAAAGCATGACATGCCACACAATGCCCCATGGAGAAGCACCTGGGTCAGTCAGGAGGCAGTAGGGGCAAAGGGAGAACATGGCCCAGAGCCTCTATTTTGTTCTCTGCAGGAAGTAATGGGGGGTGCAGGACATGCAAGAGCGGACAAATTTAGGATTAGATAGTTTGAATAATTTTAGTAGACTCTGGGCTATAGGGGTAGTCTAGATTTGTTCTGTGCTTGGCCCTAGGATGAGTTAGAGGAGAAAAAATATTGGCTTAGTGTGTGAGAGTTAGATAAAAGAAGTAGTTGCAGGTATAAAATCAGAATTAGTAGTTTATATATAAAAGCTGTGCTTATAAGGAGGTTTTTTGCTATCTCTAGGAATTATCTAGTCCTAGGAGGGGCAATCATTTTCCAGACAGTGAGGCCCCTAAGATTTCAAAACATCTTAAAATACAGAAAATTTAAAAAACAAACAAACAAAACATAATTAATACAAACTCAGTCATTGCTAGAACAGAAAAAAAAAATGAAGATCTCTTTTTTTTTATATTTACCTTGTCTCCTGTGATCTTGCTAAACTCATTTATTAGTTCTAGAAGCTTTTGAGTAAACTTCTTGAATTTTTCAATGTAGACATTTATGTCTGTTATTAGAGTTTTTTCCTTCTTTTCAACCTGTATTTCCTTTGTTTGTTTTTTCTTTTGTATTATGTCACTAG